TAATTAAGCTAAATTAAATTATAAAATTATTCACTAATTATGCTGCTAGTTTTTTAATTTATCTACTTAATTATTAATATTTTAAACTGTATTAATGAAGTTAAATTAGATAAATCTCTTCCTAAAGCTAAGGCGTATGGGAACTTGCTTATAACCTCTTTTGTTTTTTTTTTTTTTCATTGGAATAAACCCCCTTTTTATGGAAAATAAGGTAAGAGCTCAATCCATTAAAGAGGACGAACTTACATGTGTAAAAAGCAATAAGAAATAAAAAAGATGGTCAAAGACGTTTAAAATATTATTTCAAATAAATAAATATTAATATTTTTGTAATCCTGAAATCAACGCCTTAATTCATTTTCAGGCAATTAATCCCGATGAACAACTACAGCCATATTTTCGCAGCTTCTCCAGCATTCATTAAGGAGCCTATAATTAGCTCCAACAATTAGGTTATATTACAAAAATATTAATATTTGTTTATTTGAAACAATATTTTAAACGTCTTTGTCCATCTTTTTTATTTCTTATTGCTTTTTACACATGTAAGTTCATCCTCTTTAATGGATTGAGCACTTACCTTATTTTCCATAAAAATAGGGTTTTATTCCAATGAAAAAAAAGTACCCATACGCCTTAGCTTAGGCAGACCGCATCTGGACAGCGGGTAGAAGGTGAAAAAGATCTCGTCCCTCCTGCTCCTTTCGGAACAGTGGATTGGGGTGGCCACTACTTCTGCCTGACCTCAGCAAGAAGCTCATGAACCACGAAGTGGAAGCCTGCTTAGTCTTTTACAGAACATCCGAAGTAAAGAGAGGTGATAAGGGACACCTTCCAGGTGCTCTAGTAAGGCTTCACTTTAACCAAGTAAGCTTTAACATCTGCTCCACCAACTCGGTCTTGCAAATGAAAAAGGGCTCAATACTCACTCAGTCATTTCAACTGAGTTAATAAAGAGTCAAGCTCTGATGCCTGCCTGATCAAAACAGGACAATAAAAAAAGTGGCGAGGAGTACCTGCCAGGTGCTCTGTCAGGTCCTCTCTACCAAGTAAGACCAACTGTCACGACCCGACCCGACGGGGACGGATCCCGCCCGAGCCGGATCCCGACCAGCTTAACAAACTAACCAGGATCTGGCTTTGGAATTTGCTTACTGAACTGAATCTTCCAAATATTATACAAAACAGACCAGAGCTACTAAAAATATCAAATGCAGCGGAACAAATCATCTATATTTTTTAAAGAGTTCAAATGGAACACCTTTTCTTTTAAAAAGTAATTAACTATGACCGATATAATACAATAAAAAACTGATGTCCAAACAAGCACTACATTCCCAAGTACGTACAAAAGTTCATTTAAATTAAACTAAGCTAATAACGAGTTGTTTGACCACTCTGCAAAAGGATGATACAATGAATATATAATATATATCATATGATAATGTGAGCACAATGGCAGCAGCGAGCAGATGCATGCATGAAGACTATCACACTAATATGAGTGGACCAGCTTTGTGTGGAAGACAAGCAAAAGAGGTAATAGTGCCAAAATGGGGATGTAAGGGTTAGGGATATATAAGAGATCGACTACATAATTCTTTTTTCTCCATTGTGTCATGTCAAAAGTCAAATTCTTGTTTAAATCTAATAAAGAAATATCATTTTTAATATTTTCTAACCAAAGTCTTTTTAGCTCTACCTCTACCTTTTGTTAACATAAGTTAAATCTATATCCTCTACTTTCTTAACCGGGTCATCAGAAGGCCGCCATTTTATGTGACCTAACCATCTAAGGCAACACTCTCTAATCTTATCTTCCACTGGAGCTACTCCAACCTTTTCAAGGATCAGCCTTAAGCCCATATCTTTTTGCTTTAGTCATGTATGTTCTCACTAGACATTTGCAGGAGGTTGTACCTTGGTGTATGCTTTTTGGTGATGATATTCTCTTGTTGATAAGACTAGAGAGGGAGTTGAAGGTAAGCTTGAGTTATGGAGGTCAACCTTAGAGTCTAAAGGTTTTCGGTTGAGTAGATCTAAAACTGAATATATGGAGTGTAATTTTATTAGTAATAGGCCTAGTGAGGGGATTGTAACTTTGGGCGATCAAGTCATTAATAAGAGTACACATTTTAGATATCTTGGATTTATTGTTTAGTGCGATGGTGAAATAGATGGGCATATTTTCAGCAGAATTCAAGTTGGATGGTTGAAGTGGAGGAATGCATCGGACTTGTTGTGCGATAAAAAAGTCCCCCTTAAACTTAAGGGAAAATTCTATAAGATGGTGGTGATACCTACAATGTTTTATGGTGCCGAATGTTGGCCATTAAAAGAGAAACATAATACTAACTCAAGTGTTGCAGAGATGAGGATGCTCAGGTGGATGAGTGGCTTTACCCTTAGAGATGTAGTAGTCACCCCCAAAGAAGGAAAAAGAGATGAGCCTTGGGTAACCATAGCAATGCAGCGAGCTCCAAGGTGTATGCCTTCATTTTTTGTGTTAATTATATTTCCTTTCTTGGAGACGAGCCCCAATAACGCCTTTCAAAATACTATTATGTGCTGTCACCAACTTCTTAAACAACCCCTTTAACTTTTGAATCTAAAAGATGTATCCTTTAATGAAATCTATATAGCGTGTAATATAAGGAGTCTAATATAGGCATGAGTTCTTCGCCTTCAGGAACTTCCCTATAAGGTAATGAAATTTAATTAAACTCAACTGAAAAAATAGAAACTCAATTTTTTGAAAGACATCATTAAAAACATTTTATTTGTGTACTAAACCTTAGTTGTTTATACTAAGAACTTTTTTTATTCAAATGAAAAAAATTAAATAAATGCTAATTTGTGTTCTACTAACTAAAACATTCTTTAAGCATTGTTAGTGATAATTTGAATCAAGTTGTGCTTCTCGAGTTGATCAATGAATTATTCATCAACTCAAATATTTTTATGGCATTCTTTGTGAATGAATTCAAGATTATCAACCATCTATCATAAGAGTACAACTAAACATTATCTTTTGAATGAAGTTACTATAATTTATGTGTGTCCTACCAACTTATGCAAAAAGAAACTTGAATTTCACGATAACTATGAAGTTTTATTCTAGGATTAAATTGTTCATCTGTCTCCAATATTGCTAAAAAATTATCATATTTTACTGCATTAGCAGAGATTTTAGAATAATACATCCATTTTGCAAAGTTATGGTTTCTCTCTCATCTCTCATTACCTTTTAGTTCCCAACTCTTTTGTGTTTGCCCTATCTTTTTTCTTATTGCTTTGCTCCTTAAGTTATTTCTTTTTATTCTTCTATGAGAAAATAACCAAAATGATCTCTTTACTTTTTATGAAGAATAAAAATGGTCCTCAATTATATTAAAAGATCATTTTTGTCTCTCAAAGTCCTTAAAAATGTATCTAAATGGTCCAATGGTAGGACTATTTTGATTATTCTTTAACGGGTTGATGGACCTAAATGGTCATTTAATATAGTTTAGGAGTATTTTGGTTTTCCATAAAGCGTCGAGAGACCATTTTGACCATTTTCTCATTCTTCTATCATGTGGTTTCGTTATTAACAAGTTGAGGACAAGGATAACTTTTGGCATTCATATGCCCTACTTTTATCTTATTATTCTACCATTTACTATCTTGCCATAAATTGTACATTTCAGTGTTAGAATTCTTCCATTAGGAACAAACCATAATTTGCTTGTCTTTACTATTTGCATGTGAAGGATTGCTTTCAACCATTTTTTATATGTGCCATCCTATTAATAAAAATGCATAAGTTAGTTTCTTGCAAGTATAAATTAATTTAAAAATAAAAGCACTTGTTAGGAAGAAAATAATACTTCCATTTTGGGACAGTTGGTTGCTCATACAACAATTTAGGGTTGTCGGTTGCTCTTACCTGTTGCGATTCTTGAGATGCAAAAAAGACGTGCATATAGGATTGATAGGATTCGTTATTGGGCACTGTTGATTACTCTTGTGGACAAGATGTCTTGTGGGGTAGTTGACTAGACAGATGGGGCTAGGGGTTTGCTAATTGGATGACATGATCTGAGATGATGAGAGTAAATAGGATGGAGGGAAGAAGTGGGATTGCAGAAGGGGCATCATTGGTGGAGGTGGATGCAAAGGTGGACGAGCTTTGAACTTGCTGATGAGATGATTGTTGTGAGTGCTCTCATAGCCTTACTCATGCAAGTAATTGCCTAGCCCCATGCACACTTCGTCTGCAAATGGACGGCACCTTTTCATACCTTTTTTATTGCGTCATAACAACGGTGCAAGAATGTGCTTGATTGCATTGTGCCACAACATACCATTGACAACTATAGTAGCCAATCATAGTACCTTATTTTTCTTTTAATTTATGATTATTTGGTGATATATTATCTACTAATCATCTTGCATTAGAAAGATGTGGACTCGGATCTTTAATTTACAAAATAGATCCATGGCTATTTTCAATAGGCTAAGTTGCCCTCAATGTAATCTTGAGGCCCCAAATTCGAGTCATGAAAATAAACTTTTTATTCAACGCAAGGGTAAGATTGTGGACATCAGCCCCTCCTTGAACCAGCTTCATTCATGGGGAATGACCCTTTGCGATCTTTCAATTTGCAGGAACACTTCATAACCTCGTCTATCTATTATATAATTATTAGGCTTCTCAGAATGTATGAAGTTTGATTTTTGACATTTGTTTACTTAATATTATATACACATGCTTCTTAGCAGGTATTGACAGGCATTCATGTTGTGCGAACCGCTGTAACTTTTTAAAATAGGAAGATACCATTGTTTCAATCATTCAGTATTTTAAACTAGCAATATTATTCCTGAAGTTGCTTATTTATCATGTAAACACATTTTCTTAATTCAAATTACTAGACGACATGATGCTCTAATGGAATTTGGATGGCTCTGGATATTTGTCCTTTTGTAATCGGATAGGACTGCATTATTCATTATAGATTGGTGATTTGCATTTTGTTGTTGTACTTACTGAATTGTTTTTTCTATCCATTGTTATTTTTTTTTTTCACCGTTGCTTTCTACCTCAGTTTACTCCAAGGAAGGCTGGAACTCCAAAGAGGAACGAGATAGTTTTTATTTCTCCAACTGGTGAGGAGATTAGAAACAAGAAACAGTTGGACCAGTATATTCGATCCCACCCTGGTGGCCCTTCTTCTTCAGAATTTGATTGGGGATCTGGTAGCATCTTTTTTCCTCTTCTTTTCTATAACATCTGCAAGATAGATGTTTACGGATTGCTGTTTTGCTCTTTAAAATATGTTTTTGATCGGTGAAACAGGTGATACCCCAAGGCGTTCTGCTAGAATTAGTGAAAAGACAAAGGCAATGGAGACTCCGGAGGAAGAACCTCCAAAGAAGCGAGGAAGGATTTCAAGCTCAAAGAAGGGAACCAAACAGAAAAATGGTGTAGATGAACATGTGGAGGATGAGGCACCAAAAAGTGAGGAGGCGGTAGCTACAAAAGCGGCAGAGAAAGTAGAAGGTGATGTAAGAGATGCTGTTGATAGTTCAGTAAAAGAAGGCAAGGATGACGCTTCTGCTGCTAAAGTTATTTCGGAGGATAGTTCTTCTAAAATACATTCAAATGAAGGAACCAAACATGAGAAAGATGATATAAATGCAGATGTAGTAGAGGATGAAGCACCGGAAAGTGAGAAGACAGCTACAGATACATTAGGGAGAGTAAATGATGCAGATATGAAAGATGCTGAGGATGAGGCTGCTACTAAAGCTATTGCGGAGGATAGTTCTGCTAAGGAAAATTCAAATGAAGGGACCAAACTGGAGAAAGAGGTAGATTATGGGGCACCAGAAAGTGAGAAAGGTGAAGCCACACAAGCACTAGAGACTATAGAAGATGTTGATATGAAAGATGATGTGGAGGGTTTAGTTATAGGAGCGGAAGAGGCTGCTGCTAAAGTTATTTCGGGCAATAATTATGCTAAAATTGATTCAAATGAAGGCACTAAACTGGATGAAGTAGATGAGGCACCGGAAAGTAAGATATCTACACAAGCACCAAAGAGCTTAGAAGATGTAGATCCGACAGATGCTGAGGATGCTTCTGTAAAAGAAGAGGAAGTTTCTGCTGCTAAAGCTATAATTTATTCAAATGGTAAGCCTGTGGAAGCTAATAAAAATGACGTGTATCAAGAATCTGCAGTAAATCTATCTGGAAAGGAAGAAAATGAGCAGGAAAAACAGGCACATGGAGAGCAGAGTAAAGACGCGACTTCCTTCCTAAATGATAATTACAAAGGCGAGCAGGTTTCTCCTTCCCAAGCTATTCCCACTGCTAACCGCCCACAGAAGGCTTCAGCAATTGCTTGAATGAGATCGAATCTGGCAGTGAGAAGCCATTTAGTGTTGCCTTTGTTTGCATAGGTGTAATATAATCGTCCTCACTGCTTTCGATTATGCCCTATTATAATACTAAAATTGATAGATATCAACAGCATCTTGACACGTGGCGAACGGTGACACAAGTTAATCACTCTCGTTATTAAACTTAACAGATCAGGACGATGGGAACTTCTTTGGGTGATTTCTTATTGTATTTTATGTGATGCTCTTCTGATGTTAAGCATAGGTAATGCTCAATAAATATTTTAGAACAATCTTCGCAACTGCTATAAGTGCTTTAATTGTTTGAAGGTTATTCATGGTTCGGTTTGTCTAGCATTATATCATCATTCCAAGATTAGTTGTGATTCTATTATAGATTAGAGGCTAATATAATAAAGAGTGTAATTATAATAGTTATGACACAACATGGTGTCTTTGACAAATTTTATAAACTAAAATAAATTCATAACAACATCTGCAACATCTATAATAGAGATAAATAAATTGGATTAATGAAAGAAAAATGAACCCAAAAGTTAATGTCTACATCATAATGATAATTAGACCTATGGCTCTATGTTAGTGCGAAATAATTTTACAAATAAATGTTCTATGAAGAATTGTGTGCAATCATGTGTAACCTCCCAATGATTTTCTTTAAAATAAGATATATTAAGTATTGTATTGTATAAACTCCACTTTTACAAATAATATATATAGAACAATAATTTGACAATATGTGCAAGAATTATAGAACTTAACTTTTCTTGAAATTTAAAATGAATTATTTTACTGTAGCCCTTGGGACATAATCTATGGTGGCCTTAACTATTCAAAAATTATCTTTTGTCAAATAGCCCTAATTATTCAAACAAAATTAGGGAAGCACTTGTAAAATGAACTAATCATTTCTTGTATGGTGTGCATTGCATGAGGGTTCACAATCATGCAATGCCATGGATATCATAGAAAGTGAGATCTCATATATAATCCAATGGATTTTATTCTGATTTATTGAAATATATATATATATACATGACTTAAAAGAACTCCTTTCTAGTGGCGTAATTGAATGTCACATTAGGACCTTTGACCTTGCTTTTGAAAATGGAGACTATTGATTTACAATATTAATCAAATTTTTTGTCCAACACAACTATGCCAAAATCATAGGTTTTGGAGTAGTCAAATTTGTTCCCTTATTAAATAACATAGAATATAAATTTTACAAAAAAAAAAAAAAAAAAGTTTGCATAAAGACTATTCAAATGTTGGAACCATACTTAATTAAATTAAAAGAAGTCTCAAGCTGCTATTTAACCATGTATTTGAAGTATTCAACTACTAGAGCAACAGTACGGTTCCATTGTCCAATTCTATTTCATTCTTCTTGGAGTTCTAAACCAACCCTGATACCCAAGATTTTAAGGAGAATAATTCCTCCTCAATAAATAACATCGATTAATGATGTACAAATCTATACGATTGTGCCTTTTTTAGAATGAGTTTGTGAAATCCACAATAAGGTACCTCTTATTCTTTTAAATTTTCCCTTAAATTCTACATAATGTTTGTCAATCATTCATATAATTATAATAGATAGACTAACTTCAACTTCCTTATCTGCCACCTTATTTGTATATACAATGGGAAAGATTGATCTCTTAACTCCTCCACCTCCTTATTTTGTTCATACAATGACAAGAGCTTAGTTCTCTAATGCTTTCTCTTCTTCATTTTTTTTCTCTACATCTTTCTCTTATCAATAAAGTCAAAGGCTAGGTTAGTGGCAAGAACTTTCTCACTCTTATCCTCCTACACCTCCTTAATTTTCATATAATTCTTATATAAGAAAATCTTTAAAAGATGTTAGCTTTGTGTGGAATCTGGTTATGTCAATCAATCATGTTATATTATTGACTTAGACCCCAATTACATTTAGGGAGCTCATTGAGGAGCTTGCAGGGGTTGTATTGAGCCAACACGCAATATATATATATATATATATATATATATATATATATAAATTGCATAAATTATATTTCTTCGCTGCACTTTTATTTTTTTTTAACTTATTTTTCTATGTGATTATATTTCCCAACACAAGATTGGTTATAGTTTCCAATTTCTATTTTATTCTTATTTAATTAAATATTTTTGGGCCAATGTGTAAAAATTATTTTTTTTTGTACAATAGAATAATACCATAGTGCTCTATGCTAGAGCAATATAATACTTCATGCTCGAGCCGGAGACAGAAAGTGGAGTGTTATTGTAATTCAATCCCTGGCACCACAACATTTTGAGTCAGGCTAGAGATAAAGAGTGGAGTGACGCAGTGCTCTAAACCCTAGCTTCGTGGTGTTGCAAATTAGGATGAGCAAATTTTCTTCCTTCTTATTTCATTAGAGGAGTTGCGTCATTTGGATGCATCACTTACTTGTTTTGAGTAGATTACCGTGTGTATGAAGTGAAGAGAGATAAAAAGTGAGTGTAAGAAAAGAGTTCTATAAAATTTCTCTCAATTTTCATAGTGGATTTCTCGGAGTGGTGTGGCACCATAATTTTTTCCCTGGTTTAGGTTTTTTTTTCTCCTTATCTTTCCTTAAAAAAATTGTGCTTGATTTTTTTGTTTACAATTCTAATTGGATTAGTTCTACTGAGAGTATGTACAATATATTATAAAAATCATTCTCATCAAACCTATGTATCAATTAAGGATGGACATTCATATGTAAAACTCATATAAAAAGTGCGTGTGAGAAAATTATATATTTGCATCCTTAATCATGTACATTGGTTAAAAAAATACATATTTACTTCATTATTCATATGTCATAACTAGAAATCCTTGCGCATGAGCAACATTTTACTCCTTTGGCTCAACATACTTCGTGTTATCTCCCCAAAGAATTATGCACATCTCTTTCCTTGGTTTGGGATGACTTCATAATTCTAGAACCATAGTAATACTTTGTATCTAGTTATAATGTATTGAACTAGTACATTCTTATTTAGTGTAGTGGACTCATAGTGCATTATATCCCTTTTTAACTATCATTTTACCCTCTCTCTTGACATCTTATTGCATTTGTATCTAAAAATGCATCCTCATCTTCAACCATGAGAATCATTTTAGTCAAGATAATGTTATGCTTATTATGGTTTAGGAGGACACCATATATAAAGAAGCACATTCCAATCTTTCACACATCATCTTTGTTAGGGCATTTCATGAAAGCATTACTTAAGTAAGTATACTTGAAATTCTTGTTACCATGCAAGTAGTTATTTAGTAGTATGTTGCTTCTTGACATCATCTTGAACACATCATTAGATGAGATCTCTCCAAAACTCAACCAAATCATTAAATCAAAGTCAATAAACTTAAATTCCATTCTCTTCCCTCCAATATTGAATATAATTGATTACGTAACATTCCAACAATTATAAACCATTCTTGGTAATATTTGATAAAAGAAGGCTATATAGAACTACGTTTAGGTGCTCTAAAGAAGTGCTTGAAGGGAGAACTCTTAGCCTAGATAATAAGGTCATAGAATAAATTACTTAATGGATTTATCCACAATACCCTTACTATATATGTGACCAAAGCTCCATAATGCCTCTTAACTGTTAGAATTAGAGTAGATATCTATATACTTAACCTTTTTTTTTAATTATTTTTTTTTATTTTAAAATCATTTTAAAATCATACTAATTTACATCCTCTCATTACTATGTCATACCTTTCACTTAAGAACTCTATTCTTCTAAATGATTAGCCTAAAGAAGTCAACCATGCTCAATGACTCAACTTATCTATATACTTAACCTAAAAACTCAAATGAGCTAATCCTTAGAATTATGATGAGAGAAAAACTTTCTTTAAACCACCTTTGAAAAAAGATTAAACCATATTGAATTATCGTTGAACAATCTTAGATGATGATTGACCCATCTCTAATAAGTCTTTGTGTAGTCTTCAACTTTTGTAAGCAATCTTTAAATCATGTTTAACACATGATTGAATCTTATGTGACCTTTATTTAAAGATAATTTGTTCATGATCAAAGAAGGTTCAATCATTTATCAAAGATGGTTTAAAGATTGCTCAAATATGGTTGAATATGGTAAGAAGACTTATTAAATATGGGTGGGGGTCTCCGAAAGGGAAACTACTCATGGGGGTTAAAATGCAAAGAGTATAATTACACTATCCTGTATGATAAATGATCATAGACCTTTACACTCTATGAAAGCAGGCCAATTGAAGAGCATATAACATTATACATATGATTATCCATGAAAAATAGTGACTTTTGCATGTACATTTCGATGGATGATGATATATATAATTTGATAGTCACAAAATTTCTCCTATTTGATGCACCGGCTCAAGTGGAGTTTATTTGATGTGGGCAGTAGTTTCCTCTAGGTGCAAGCCTACATGTTTAGTTACATCTTAGGTCTTCACTTGTAGAATACTTGTGATTAGGGATGCTATTTTATTCTCTTCTCGGTTTAATGCATAATGAGATTCTTAGGTTCTTATAATATAAAGAAGAGAGAT